AGTCAAAGGTTTTAGCGTAGTCAATGAAGCAGAAGTAAACGTTTTTCTGGAATTCTTTTGCGACTGAATACATTTCTTTGCCCAGTGCCTACAAAAATAAACACTCAGTAAATAGAGAAGTAAGGTTTGAAGTCATAAATTATAACCAAGGTGATAGAGAAAGAAAATGTTACTTCAGAAATGATCATTCAGATGTTTGAGGCTAAAGTTCCAGTCATAAATAATTCAGAAAGGTTTCCAGTCGTAAATGGTAAATAGGTGTTAGGAAAAGGGTTCTAGTCACAAATCATAAGTTAAGGTGATAGTGGTTTCCTGTCAAAACATACTCAGATGATGGAGAAAAAAGATGTCCAGTCAAAAGGGCAGCACAGTTGATAGAGGGAAAGTTTGCCAGTTATGAATAATAACTCAGATGATAAAAGATTTCCTGTCAAAAGTGTTAACTCAGGTGATAGAGACCAAAGATCTCCAAGCATAAATGATAATGTGATCAAGACCAAAAGTTTTGTGGTAATAACAACTCAAGTGGTGGATAAGTTTCCATTCACGGTGATAACCCAAGTGCTAGAGAAAGCAGGTTTCTGTCATAAATGTGAAGGCAGGGGATAGACGAAAAGGTTATTCAATCATGAATGAAAAATCTTGTGATGGAAAAGTTTTCCTGTTATAAATTATGATGTAGACCTTGGCAAAGAAAGGTATTCAGTTGCAAATGATAATCCAGGTCATGAAAAAAAAAAGTTTCCTAATCACAAATGATTACTCAAATGATTAGAGAAAGAAGGATTTTCATTCATAGGTGATAACTCAGGTGATTAAAAAGAAGGTGCCAGTCATAAGCTAAAACTTAGAAGTTTTTTAGATGCAAGTGGTACCTCAGTAATAGATAAGGAAGGCTTCTAGTCATAAGTAATAAGTCAGGTAATGGAGAACAAAGATTTCCTGTCATAAATCAGTTTATAAAAAAATAAGGTTTCTAGCCATAAATGATAACTCAAAATGTTTCCAGTCACTAATGAAAACTCAGCAGATAAGAAACAAAGTTTCCAGTCATAAATTTTACCTAAAAGAGATACTTACAAATAAGGAGTATCCAGTCACAAATAACAACCATGGTCACAGAAAAGTGTTTCCATCAAAAATGATAAGATATAGAAAAACAATCCCTCTCATAAACAGAATTTTAAGGGGATGACAGAGGATGAGATGGTTAGATGGCATCACTGACTCGATGGACATGAGTTTGAGCAAGCTCCAGGAGTTGGTGATGGACAGGAAGGCCTGGCGTGCTGCAGTCCATGGGGTTGCAAATAGTCGGATACGACTGAGGGACTGAACCGAACTGAACTGAATTGATAAGGTCATAAAGAAGTTTCCCAGTATCACGTGATGACTCAGGAGACAGAGAAAGAGGCTTCATGTCATAATGAAAAGTGAAGTGATAGAGAAGGGAAAACCGCAGTCATGAAGGATAAAACACACTAGAAAAAGATGGTGATACAGAGGATTCCCAGTCACAAAGGATAAATCAGGTGACAGAAAAGAAAGTTTTCCAGCCATAAATGACATCAGGTGAGAGAGAAAAATTCTGTCATAAATGATAATTCAGGAAATAGAGAAGTAGGATTTCCAGTCATAAATGGTAACCATCAACAGCATGAGACAGAAAAACTTTTCTACTTTTAATTGATTATGCAGGTGATAGAGAAAGATTCAAGTCATAAAAGATAAATCATGTGATAGAGTGTTTCCAGATATAAATAATAACTCAAGTGATATAGAAATCTATCAAGTAAGAGAAAATGAAAGCTTTGCAATCAAAAATTGTAACTCAGGTGATAGGGAAAGAATACTTCCAGTTTTCGGCCATAATTCATAGGCTAGAAAAGAGGGTTTCGAGTCACAAATGAGAACTTATAGAGAAAGGCTTCCAGTCATAAGTAATTATTCGGGTGATACAGAGAGAGGGTTTCTAGTCAAAGAGAACTGAGATGATAGAGAAAAAAGTTTTCTAGTCATAAAAAAGGTGGAAAAAAAGGTTTCCAATAATTAATGATTCAGGTGACAAAGAAAAAGTGTTTCACTCATAAATGATAAGTCAGCTGAGAGAAGAAAGTTCCCCAGGCCTAAGTGTCAGGCGATAAAGAAACAAGGTAGCTTGTCGTAAGTTACGGAGAAAGAAGATTGTTCGGTCACAGGCTGGTCACTCAGGAGAGAAACAAACCAGCCGTGAATGACGACGAGTCGACACGGGGGAAGGCTTCTAGTTGAAAATGGTGACCGGTATTATAAAAAGCCTTCCACAAACAATCGCAGGTCACAGAAAAAGACTTTTTGTCACAAAGGTAACAGGTCACGGAGAAGGAAATGTTCTGACCTGGTGTGATGACTCAGGTGACAGGACAAAAGGTGTCCTGTGGCGAATGAGGGTCCGTGTGTCAGAGGAAGAAGGGAACGTCACCAATGAGAACTCAGGCAGCAAACTGAGGTTGCTGCTTAAAACTAGTAAAAGAGGAAAGTTTGCAGCCAGGAATGGTAACTCAGGTGATGGTGAAAGATGGCTTCCAGCCATAAGTGACAACACTGGGGGTAGAAAGAGAAGATTCAGTCACAAATGCTAAGTTGGAATTCACATAAATACAGTTTCCAATCCTAAGTGGTAACTCCAGGGACTCAGGGCAAAGTTCCAGTTGCATGTGGTCACCCAGGTAACATAAAATGATTCCAGTCATAAAACCCAAGTTGGGTGATGCAGAAAGAAGTCTCCTGGTCATAACTCCTAACTCAGGTGGTCCAGACGGAAGCTCGCCCATCACAGAGGCATATCGGGTGATGAAGGTCGTTTGCATCCACAAACAGCCCAGGTGATACACAGAGAAAAGTTTCCTCCCCCTCTGAAGTGATGATTCTCTGGAAGAGAAAAAAGTTTTCATGTCGTAAATGACATCGGGATACAGGAAGGAGTTTTGTGGTCAGCAATGATGACTCAGGTGACTGGGGAGGAAGTCGTCTTGTCCTAACTTATGACTTAGGACAGAGGAGATAGGTTTCCAACAACAGAGTAGACCGTCCTCAGCAGGATGACTGGAGGACGAGGTGACAGGGGTTTCAAGGGTGATCCTCACAATCACACTACAGAGAAAATGAGAAAGGTTTCCAACAAGTGTGAACTCAGATTACAGACAAAGAAGTTTTCAGGAGCAAAGGATAACCCATGTTAGAGAAAAAGAAGGCTTCCAGCCAGAATAGATAGGTCCAGACACACAGAAATAAGGTTTCCATCCATAAATAACAGTTTTGGGGAGAGAGAGAAGGTTCCAGCCCTGAATGACACACAGTGACAAACCACAAAAAGTTTCCAGTTCTGGACGGTAAGGAGTTTGAGTCAGAAATCAGAACTCGGGAGATGGAAAACTCACCTCCCCATCCGAAAGGACACTACAGCCGTGGAGCGAGGCTGCCATGGTGACGGGAGCCACCTCCCCGGGAGTGGCCCCTTCGCTGGGGTGAAGAAGTTGCCAGGCGGGAACCACAGCCTCCGCAGAAGGGCCTCTGGGTTCGGGGGGTCGCGGGGGAGGGGGGTGCAGAGCCGCGGTTATCGGCTCACTCCTGGGGCGTTTCTGCCCTGTGTAGCCTCCGCACCAGGCAGAGGGGCTGTGGACGCGGAGACTGCAGCTCAGCACGTGTTTCCTCCGTGGCGTGACCGTGACGCTCACCCTTTCGGTCCCCATCGCCTTGTCTTCTGGGTCATCCTGCTGAGGATGGTCTGCTCTGTCGGGCTATGTTTTCAGCCTCTCTGGCAGGTGCCCCGGCCCGCGGAGGGGTCGATCTGAGGCCTCTGCGCTGGGCCGTGGGCTCAGCAGAGGCCGGGCAGGCAGCACCATGTCCCACGGTGTCCCAGGGTGGCGCTCTGCCCCCTCTCCCGCCTGCGCCCGCCTAGGAGCCTGCCCCTGCGGGGGGACAGCATGCCCCCATCCTGAATCCAGGGCCCAGCTGAAGGCACCTCCGGCTTTCAGCCACGGCCCAGAAAGTGCCGACAAGGCTGGTGCCCGCCTCCGGCTGGGGGCCCGGGTACGACCCCTCCTCCTACCAGGCCCAGCCCCCACCCCTGACCCAGAGAGAGCTGGCGCCCTAGGAGGCAGTCAAAACACCCACGCCCCCACCCCTGTCCGGCACACAGGCGCTCAGATGTCCCCTGGGCCCATACGTGTGGCTGGTGTGCGTGGGCGGGGCTTATGGGGCCAGGGCAGGGACCATGCAGCAGGCTGCCTCTGCGGACCACTCTTCCCTCTGCCCCAGGCCCCTCCTGCCCATCCCACAGAGCAGCGCTGCCCCCTGGTGTCTGTGGGCACCCCCACACTGGGAAAGGGTCTGGGGGAAGGACGACCCTTAGATTCTGGTGCAGGCCTTGCCCTCCCACCTCCACCACCCGCCCCCAGCCCTCTCGGGGCTTCAGTGGTCCGTTGCAGGGACGACCCCTCAGATTCTGCTACAGTCCTCGCCCTCCCACCCCTACCACCTGCCTCCAGCCCTCTCGGGAAGAAGTCCCGGGCTGCCCCCTCGTTGTCTGTCCGCCCCTCTGCACGGCCTGCCCTGGTTAGCCCCTCCTCCCCAGACCCTCTCTTCCCATCAGGGACACTGGGCTCCTCAGCAGCAACCCTGGAGCATGGAGCGCCCCCGCCCTGACCCCAGGGCCCACAGACCTCTCTTCTCACCCTATTTGAGACTTGAGGAAGCCACAGAGCCAGGCCCTGGCCCCCAAGGCCGCGCTCACTCTAGCCCTGGACCTGACCGGAGCCAAGGCTGGCTGATGGTCCCAGGGGTGGAACCCCGGGTCTCCCACTCCAGCCCAGCTCCGACCGGGTCTCCCCAGGCTGCATGGCCACATGCAGGCAGCGCAGCTCCACACCACAGCGTGAGACAGGCTAAAGTTACCTCATCGTTTGAGTGACTTAAAACTCAAAGCATTTGAGAGTTAAGAAAATCAAAATGAGAAAATTTTGGAAACAGATTTTTAATACTTAAAAAGTTTTAAGACAAAAGTTAACATACTCTTTTAAAAATGTTTTATAAAACAGTGATATAAATTTATTTTAGCATGAGATAAAAGCAAAACAAGGTTCTGTGGAATACACCCATTATCGGCCAATTCATTTTACATCTGTCATTGGGAATCTTCGTTTAAGCCGTGACTGGCGTCCTGCAACAAACGACTCACCAGGAAACATCGCAGTGAGGCCGGCCCCATGTCAGCTGTCCCTCCCCGATAAGCAGAGCGTATCTGCTACCAAGAAGAGCACTGGGCCTAAAACTTTTCTCTTGATTTCTGTAACACAGGAACAGGTTCTTATTCATCGCAGTCTCCAGAACATGTGCACTAACCAGGACAAGCTTGCAGCAGGAAGCAAATGCTGCCTCGTCTTGAGCAACGTGTACTTTTTTTTTTAATGCTATGATTACATTCTTCTTTAAGGCAATGTAGTTTGTTTTGTTTCTATAAAACTTACATTAATCATTTTTTTAAATAAAATGTCAGCATTTTGGGTCCAATCAACCAGAAGCAGGATAGAACCAGGACATCTAGACAGTTCTTTATAAAGAGATGCTGAGCTCAGATGGTTGTCCTTCAAAACAGAGCAAACAGGCTCTTTTGTCTTCGAGCATGCAGTTAAAGTACGTAAACGCAACACACTTCTTGAGCAAGATCACGTAAGCACAACACGCTACTTGAACCACACAGGCCTGCAAGTCTCAGCCGTGGCCTCATATATCCTGGGGTAGCCGCTGCAGTGAGGAAGCGATGGCCCCTTCCCGCGGTGTGCTCACCGAGGACAGACCCCGGGGCGGCGGGGGGGAGCGGGTCACACGCACGATGAGAGCTTCTTTCTCTCCTCAAACTGCTTGTCCACGGCCAGAGACAGGGCCTGGAGGAAGCCCTCAATGGTGACAGTGGGGGCCTGGAAAATACACGGCACTGTGGCGGTCCTCGCCCTCGGGGTGGGGGTGGCCTGGTAGCACCCACCTCCAGGGCACAAGCACTCTGAGCAGGCAGGGAGGGCCTGGGCATGCGCTTTCCACACGCCAGTGAGGTGAGCAGACACATGCCAGCCCTCCACTGCCCCTGGGCCTGTCACTTCAGAAACACGAGAGGAGGCGGAAACCCCAGAGAGGCAGGCAGGACTCTCCTCGAGGCCAGCCCTGCGGGCAGAGTGGGCAGCAGGGGTCCAGGGCCCAGGCACTCACCTGGATGTACAGTGCGTGAGCGAGAAAAGGGAGCTTTCTCAGGACACGGCCACTCAGGCCCTCGCTCTTCCTGTGAACATGACCACACGGCGTCAGCTCCACATGGACCGTGGTGCACTTCAGGACGAGTCCTGATCTCTCCCTAGAGCCCCTTGGAGGGTGGGCAGTCTCCCCCAGGCCTCAGCTACCGCTCCAGGAGGGGCAGGATTCTGACACCACCCACGGCCTCGGCCGGGGCACCATGAGGTGGGTACAGGCCGGCTCACACCTCTGAATTCTTGCACAAGTCTGCACTGCTCCCCTCTGTCCCACCTTGACCACTGTAACCAACTCTCTCCAAAGCCCCGCCAGCGTGTCTGGCACCTGGCATCTGCCACGCAGCCCACCCGAGGCCCTCACATAGGGCACACGGTCTCCCTGACCTCTCTCCAGTTTATCCAAATTCTAACTGTCTTCAGAGGCTCTGCTCTACTTCCCAGCTCCATCTCCGGGGCCACCTGAGCGCTTGCCAGTGCTACCAGCCTGGGCTCGGGCAAGTGCGCCGGGGATGCTCACATGTTTCGTGGCTCTCAGTACCCAGGCAGCGGGATCAAACACTGTCCATCCCGCAGCACCAAGGCCAGCGCCCTGACTGTCTTAACTGTTTACTCTGCTCATCAAAGAAAAAGCCTCCACCTTACTTTCTTGGCCATTTGTAAAAACTTAACAAATATTGCTTAAGAATCCACCGATGCTACAGACAGCCTTAATCTGAGAGCCTGTCCTGTGCTAGCGCAGTGCTTTGCTTGCTGTCCATGGGCACACGTGGAGGGCAGCTGGCCTCACTCTCCCATCCAGGAGCCCAGGGTTGGGGAGGCCAGAGGGCATCTGCTGTGGGTGAGATACCCTGGGATTCAGCCTCCGCCACCCAACCCATATCACCACTTCGGCTGCCACAAGCGATTACAACCCCTGTGACCAAAGAGAACGGGCTTCTCTAGGTTGTCAAAGCGAAGTCACCCTCAGAATGGGAGAAAATACTTGCAAACAAAGCAAATGACAAGGGATTAAATCTCCAAAACATACAAACAGCTCATGCAGCTCAATATCAAAAAAACAAACAGCCCAATCCCAAAATGAAAGGAAGATCTAAACAAACATTTCTCCAAAGAAGACATACAGATGGCAAACACACATGGAAAGAGGCTCAACATCACTAATCATTAGAGAAATGCAAATCAAAACTACAGTAAGGTATCACCTCATACCAGTCAGAACAGTAATCATCAAAACGTCTACAAGCAATAAATGCTGGAAAGGGTGTGGAGAGACGGGAACCCTCCTACACTATTGGTGGGAATGCAAACTGATACAGCCACTACGGAGAACAGTACGGAGGTTCTTTAAAATCCTAAACATAGAGCTACCATATGACCCAGCAATCCCACCCCTGGGCAAATATCTTGAGAAAACAAAAATTCAAAAAATATACTTATCCCTATGTTCATAGCAGCACTATGCACAATAGCCAAGACGCAGAAACAACCCAGATCTCCACTGACACGTGAATGGACAGAGACGACGTGGTGTACATACACAGTGGGACATTGCTCCACAGTGAAAAAGAATGAAATGAGGCCGTTTGCAACAACACGGATGGACCTGGATATTATCATACTAAGTGAACCAAGACAGAGACAAATATCATATGATATCACTTGTAATCTAAAAAATTATACAGATAAACTAACTTACAAAACTGAAACTGACTGAGACTTAGGACACAAATTTCTGGTTACCAGAGGGGCATGGGGGAGAAGGGTAAATTGAGAGACTGGGATTGACACGTTGCTGTTCAGTTGCTCAGTCGTGTCTGCCTCTCTGCGACCCCACGGGCTGCAGCATGCCAGGCTCCTCTGTCCTCCACCACCCCCCGGAGTGTGCTCAAACTCATGTTCGCTGAGTAGGTGATGCCATCCAACTATGTCATCCTCTGCCGCCCCCTTCTCTTCTGCTTTCAGTCTGTCCCAGGATCAGGGTCTTTTCCAATGAGTCGGCCCTTCAACTCTGGATAACATACAAGCTACTACATGTAAAATAGGTGACAGATAAGAATCTACTGTGGGGCACAGGGAACTCTACTCAGTACTCTGTGGTGACCTATAAGAAAGAATCTAAAGGAGTAGATACGTGTATGTATAACTGAATCACTTTGCTCTACAATATTTACTGCAAATCAACTATGTTCCAAAAAATTTTTTTAAAAAGAATAAGTGAGGTCAGTACACACCTTGAAATTTCACTCAGAAGGAGGCTCAACTTGGACACGTTGTTTTCAATGAAGCCAATCATCTCCAGCTCGCGGAGGGTCAGCAGCTGCTGGCGAGGGTATATGATCTGACACTGCAGGGACAGAGGATGGGGCAGCAAAAGCATCGGTCAGTGGTTTCTCCCTCAGCTCAACCTGCAGACCCAACAAGTGCAGTGCTCAATGTGAGAGTGGGTGCAGGCTGAGGGGCACCTCTTTCTACACAGGAACCAGACGCTGTAAGTTATGCCAGCACATCAAGAACACACAAGAAAGCTAATGTGTTCTTAGGAAAGTGAGAAAAAACTCAAGGCACCCTCATTAGCTCTTCCAGGCAAGAGAGGTAGATCTTGAAGATGGCTGCTGCAGAGGGCGGCCCAATGTACTGTCTGATGTCAGCCCTGTCCACGAAGGCCACATCGATCCTCTCTGTGATGTTGGACGTGGTCAGGATCACTACGTTGGAGTGCCTGTGGGCAGAGGGCGGGCCCGGTCAGCCTGGGCCACAGGGACCCAACCACCCCTGCCCTGACACACGCAGTGTGAGGACAGATCAGCACCAGGGCCCAGGCGTTCAGCCAGCTTCCTATCCTGTGCCCACCCCCACGAGGTCTTCTGAGGCCCTGCTTCTTGCGCTCCGCCTGACTCTCATTCCTGCCAGGTCCTCCCGGCTGCAACAGCGCAGACCTCCCCGCTCTTGCTCTGCGAGCTCCCGGCCTATGGACACCTCTCACAGGCCCCAGCTGGACTGCTCCCTGCCCCCTTCACCGCGGTGAAGCCCTCACTCTGCACAGCGTCCTTGCACCCCAGCACCGACACTGCCTGCCTGGGCACAGCCACACCTGCCCGTCACACACTCTCACCACTCCAACAGCCGTGACACCATGCTGCATGATTCACCCTGGGGACTAGCGGCCCTCCCCTCCGGCTCCTACACTCCCCAGAGACCCCGCCATCCAGTCTGCTCACCTGTGGGGACAGCACGGAGCGGGCAGCGGCACCCTGGGGAGCACACCGCCTGGCCTGCTGGGCTCGAGTCCTGGGGACGAGGCAGGGCTGCCCCAGGCCCGCAGACAGCACACAGACCACTGGCAGCTTTGTGGCCGCGGAGCGCCTGGAGGATTGCCCCCCACCGACCCCTGTACTCTGACCACAGAGTGGTGAGCAGGGCTGAGCCAGGTGAGGGAGGCACACGGGGCCCAGGAGTCTGGGCAGAGGCTGGCGAGCACGGAGCATGCACAGGGTTCCCACACACGGCTGGGAGCCACATGCCAGGATCGGGCTTTTCACAAATGGTCACCACTGCGGGCCTTAATCGCGTGAGGCAAGGAAGGTGAGAGAGACTGCAGAGACAAGTCTCCACTCCTCCTGGGGCAATGGACGGGGGTCAAGGAGACCCCCTTTTCTGAGTAGTGGGTACCCTCTCCCCACACCAAATCTTTGCTGTGCATTTTTAACACTTCAATAACGTAAAAAGTGCGTAATTTCTAAAAAGCTTATGAAACAGAGAGAAGACAGGGCCCAGACACAATGCCAGACGCATCCTAAGCTGGAAAAACTGAGAGTAAGGCCGGGGGTGTGCGTGTGCAGTGGTACCTTTTAATCTGATCGATTTGGGTCAAGACGGCATTGACTACACGGATGGCATCCGAAGGCTCAGCGCCTGCCCTGCATGCATTACGGGCAGCGGTCAGGCTTTCCACCTGTGGGCACAGAGCGGCGGGGTGGTCAGCTAAGTGGACGCCGGGGGGCGGGGGGGGGCCTGCACGTGAACACCACACCGAGGGCTTGTGGGGACCCCCGGGGCTAGGACTGCAGGACACAGCCAGTAGAGGCTGGCCAAGCATGGGGCTGGTGGTGCCAGAAACATGAAAGGCCACCCAGTCCTGCGCTTCCTCCAGTCACAGGTGTGAACACACCCACCTCATCGATCAGCACGAACACCAGAGCATCCTTGTCATCAATCAAGTCCTGAATCTTCTGGAACATCCTAGTCACCAGCTTGCCACTCTGGAAACAAAACACTCCTTATTATCAACATGTACTCTTCAAGCTGCTTGGTGCACACGTGCGTTCACTGTCTCCATCTGGCTGAGCTCTGACCCTAGGTGGCCCCACAAGCCCACCGTCTCCTGATAGCCCCTCGGAAAACTCCCTGAATCAGAGAAGCCAGGTCTGCAGGGAACCCAGAGGCCCGCTGCCACACCCACACTTCGGCCCCCTTTTCCACCTTTCCCTCCCCAGCGGTACTGGACGTGCTGGGTCTCGGGTGCAAGTCAGCCAGGCGCCCCTCCTACAGGACTCCTGTCCCCACCCACCATCTGCCAGGGGCACCATCCGACACGGAGGGCCTGCAGCAGAGCCTTCCAGAGCTGAGGGGCACCTTGCCATCACCTGGCCTGAGTGCTTCAGTTCACAGCTGGCGAACAAGGCTCAAGCTGAGGGTGCGGTCCCATCGGAAGGTGATCCCTCCCTCCTCAGGTAACACTGAACGCCCCGTGCCCCAGCGCAGGTCTGGAGGTGACAAGCAGAGGGTCCTCTCAGGCCTCAGGTGGTTTCCAGGTTATCACTAAGCTCTGGAACTCTCCTCTGACCATACAGTCAGCCCCTGTTCACATTCCCATTTCACCTATTTCTCTCCTAAAGCTTCTGGAAGAAAAAGTTTGCCTAATCTACTGGACAAGTTTTCAACTGTGTGGTGGACAATCCAGAGAACTGGGATTAGTATAAACACTTACCTCTGAAAACCACTTAGAAAAGAGGCTATGGCTGTTAATTTCAACTAACTGGCCATATCGGTACCTAAGATGGTTTAAAAAAAAGAGAAACAGCAATCATTACGAGTCAGTCCCATAACATCCCTGGCAGCAACCACCTCTGTCTCTATAACACAACACTGCTTAAATGCCCAGCAGGCTGAGAATGACTGCTCTGTTACCACTGACCCAGGATGAGGTACCTGCAAGCTGCATGTTAATAGTTATGAACAATCTAACAAGATGTGTCAACATCAGTGGTTCTAGTTGGAGCAAACTAAATGTCTCAAACTGAATGGTATCTTCATTTGAATTAAAGCAAGAAAAAAAATGGCGCTAAGATGGCAGAGTAGAAGGGTGTGTGCTCATCTGCTCCTGCGAGAACTCCAAAATTGCAACTCACTGCTGAGCAACCACAAACAGAAGAATGGTGGATCCCACCAAAAAAAGACACCCTACGTCTCAGGTTGAAGGAGAAGCCCCAGCAAGACAGCAGGAGGGCAAAGATCACATTTGGAATCAAACCCCATACCTTCCAGAGACACTCAGATGGCACAAGTAAAACCTTGTGTGCAACAGGACCCAGGAGAAAGGAACAGTGACTCCACAAGAGACTGAGCCAGACTTGCCTGTGAGGGCAAGAGATGGGAATACCAGACCACCTGACCTGTCTCCTGAGAAACCAGTATGCAGGTCAAGAAGCAAGTTAGAACTGGATATGAAACAATGGACTGGTTCCAAATTGGGCAAGGAGTACGTCAAGGCTGTATATTGTCACCTTGCTTATTTAACTTATATGCCGAATATATCATGCGAAATACCAGACTGGATGAAGCACAAGCTGGAATCAAGATTTCAGGGAGAAATATCAATAACCTCAGAGGGCAGATGACACCACCCTTATGGCAGAAAGTGAAGATGAACTAAAGAGCATCTTGATGAAAAGTGAAAAAGGAGAGTGAAAAAGTTGACTTAAAACTCAACATTCAAAAAACTAAGATCATGGCATTAGGTCCCATCACTTCATGGCAAATAGATGGGGAAACAATGGAAACAGCAACAGACTTTATTTCCTTGGGCTCCAAAATCACTGAGGACAGTGACTGCAGCCGTGAAATTAAAAGACGCTTGCCCTTCAGAAAAAAAGCTATGACAGCATATTAAAAAGCAGAGACGTTATTTTCCCGACAAAGGTCCATCTAGTCAAACTATGGTTTTTCCAGTCGTCATGTATGGATGTGAGAGTTGGATCATAAAGAAAGCTGAGCACCAAAGAATTGATGCTTTTGAACTGTGGTCTTGGAGAAGGCTCTTAAGAGTCCCTTGCACTGCAAGGAGATCAAACCAGTCGATTCTAAAGGAAATGAGTCCTGAATATTCATTGGAAGGACTGGTGCTAAAGCTGAAGCTCCAATACTTTGGCTACCTGATGTGAAGAACTGACTCACTAGAAAAGACCCTGATGCTGGGAAAGGCTGAAGGCAGAAGGAGAAGGGGACAACAGAGGATGAGACAGTTGGATGGCATCACCAACTCAATGGACAGGAGTTTGAGCAAGCTCTGAGAGTTGGTGATGAATCAGACATGATTGGGCAACTGAACTGAAGAATACTTAATACTCTTTTGGTTGTTTAGTCACTCAGTCATGTCTGACTCTGCGACCCCATGGGCTGTAGCCCACCAGGCTCCTCTGTTCATGGAACTTCCCAGGCAAGAATACTGGAGTGGGTTAGCATTTCCTTCTCCAATAGTTAATACAACTAGTTAAATACAATTAATTCTTAATACTGCTTTTAGTCTACTTATAATTTATATTCCTATATTCAAAAACCATTACCTGTATTAACATGGCAAATCAAAACATAAGCATCAAAAGTCTTTTGGACACAGTCGAACATTTTTTTTTCTCCTTCCACAAAACCCTAAGGAATGTGAGAATTTGTTTTCCAGCACAAAATTACTTCCGTCAAACCTGGAGCCCTGGAAAACTCAAAGGGAACCTGGACACACGCTGTCTGAAACCCAGCACTAATACCCCATTTCCCACGGAGTCAGTGAGGACTCTGGATGCACTTAGTTCTGATTAAAATCAAACAGGGAAGGGCCAGCAGAGAAGCCAACTCCCAGATCTGTTTCACAGTTTCTTTCATGTTGTGAGTCCACAGAAGAAAAATAATTACTTTAAAAAGTATCACCGACTTTCCAGTTGAAAAACATCATTTAGTAATTTTGTTTACAAAAGAGGAGAAGGGGGAGATAGACAACCTAGTGAATATAGATTGGGTTGAATATTACACAAAATTAATCATAAAGCATTTTGATTATTAAGTAAAGTAGACTTTAGTTAATAAAGCAAAAAAGGCTTGCTAAGGCTTCTTCTTGCCACAAAATAAATACCAATTTCCAGATCTCTATACTGGAAAACGTCACATTTCTTGTAATAACACCTTCACCTTCCGGCGTTTCAGGAAACTGCCCTCAGAGATTATCAAACACAGATGTGTTTCACTATGTCAAGACAAAGGTCAAGATACTGAGCATAAAACAAAGGGCTGAAATAGAGCAACTTCCCTACTTTTAAGACAGTTTTGAAAAGAAAACAGATTTAAAAGTAAATCTCACAGGATTTCCTTTTCTGAAGGCATACTAGTCTAAAAGGGTGATTTACCTTCTGCCTTAACCAACTAGAAAACTAGACAAAACAGTGAAACAATGTCTGTGAAGGGTGCCAGACAACAGAATCGGGGACTGTAACCTGGGAGGCGGGCAAGGGGTAAGCGCGACAGCCCTGAGCTCCTGCCTGGAGTGACACCGGGTGGGACCCAAGAGGAGAGGCCAAGGTACTGAGCTGAAGAGACAGGCCAGAGTTTAAGGAGCCGAGGTGTCAGGAGGCTACAGAGCAGAGTTCCAGAGAGGAGAGAGACATGCAGGAATGAAGCCCGGTGACTGTCATGGGGCAGCAGTGTGTGAGGACGGAACCCAGCGCTAGAGCCTGGGAGTGCTCGAGACCCCAGGGCCGAGGGTGCTCGCTGGTCCTTGAGGGGCTCACTCAGACCCAGGAGGGCCCTCCTGAGGGTGAAGTCTAGGCCACAGAGACCACTCCTGAGAAAGATTAACAACAGACCTCACAAGGATTACACCAAACACAAGGACACAAACCCCTGTCAGAATAAAATCCTGTGGTCATTAAAGACAAACAAGAGAATCCAGTCACTGCAAATCGTCATGTCCACATTCAACAATTATGTGGCACGCCAAGAAGCAGGAAAATGTGACTCGTAACCAGACCCAAGTGATAACAAGGATGGAATTGGTAGACAGAGCTTACAAGCATAAATAGAGCTGAGCAATCTTCAGACAAGAAAATCACTCAGAGATGGAAATTTCACTGAACAGAAGTAAAAGCAGATCAGATACTGCAGAAAACTATTCAAAATGAAACTCAGAAAATTTTTAAAACTTGAGCAAAGATGAAAGGGCACATGAGTGGCCTGCGGGACAGCATGAGACAGTCTAATGTGTAAATGAATAGACCCCCACAAATGGGGGCAGAGCAGGGGAATTAGTTGAAGAGGTAATGCCCAAATACTCTCCGAATGTAGTGAAACCATAAATCTCTAAATGGACTACACTCAAGAAGTGGCAGACAAACCCAGCACTAGGCTTGGACACTCCTCCCAGGAAGTGACAGGGCAGCAGACAGATTGTCAGCACAGACATCAAGCAACCATGGGACAGTCGACCGAATGCGAGCAGAGAGCGCTCCTCGAAGTGTACACGGGGCGGGCACCACAAGTGATCCCGTGCTGGTCACAGAGTGAGTCTCAGCACATTTAAGAGGACTGGACTCAGAGCGCAAGACTATATGAGTACAGAAGGACTCATTAAATTACACTGAGACACCTACTATTCATGTAAGATGATTTAAAAATAGCAGCAGCTCCTCCCGTCATTACAGCTGAAAACAGAGCAAACCCACTTCAGCGGCTCTCCTCTCTCGAATTACCCAAGTTACCTGCTCGAGAGTCTGATGGTCAATTTCTGGGCTAAAGCTTTACACAGGGACGTTTTTCCAGTTCCTGGAGGACCTGTAACAAAATGCAAACAAGTTTTTAAGTTACTGCTGTTAACAGATTTCTTGAAACAGTAGCTGCATTATTCACAGGATATAACATAAGGAACAGACTGTAATGCTATAAATGTTACTATCACAAAAATTGCTTAAGTTGCTGAGAAATCTGTTAATAGCGCAAATGCTAGAAAACATCACCAGGAGCTTCTTGGCCTGTATCCACTCTGCTTTTCTTTCCATCTTCAAGGAAACCCTCCCTGTCCCTACATGTCTTCTATGAAATCCGCTGATTATGAAAACCCACTTTTCAAAGGTCAAACAAACCTTTCCTGGTAACCATCGGGACCTCAGGCACTGGTGTTTGCTGTTCCTGAAGCCCACGGCACCAGCATCGTTCACTCCAGCTCCGCACACGTGGGCCTGAACCCCAAGCTACACAGGGAGAGTGGTGGGGCAAGGCCTGGGCCCTGCGTGTCCCTCAGCACAGCGGCTGATAGGAGCTCTGAGGGCACGGATGTGGGAGCACAAACGCGTCCAACAGAAAATGATGACGTTCAATTCTGATCCTTGGCATTTTCCATAATTCACAAGTAAATCTATAACCAATTCTAATGGGAAATACTGTGTTGCACTAAGTAAAACACCTTGTGATTACCCTCTGACTCTAGTATTAAGAAAATTTGCCAAGATATTCTAAAGACACTCTAAAGACACTGTTTCCATAAAACTGAACACAAGCCTACAATCTTCATTGTATAAAGAAGCTAATTACTCTTTTAATTATAGCTCTTATCTCACTATAATTTGGGCTTTCTCTCAGTTCTTTTTCTCTCCTGGGATAGTAACAATAACAACAACAAAAAAAACCCCAGTATTCTCTTCCCAGAACTAGACAGTTCTGTGAAGTGGGGGCTTTTGCAGTTTATTATCCATCAAGAGAAACTCCAAGGATACTATGAAGAAATACAAGGCAATTGCTATCCTGAGAAACCCATGACCAGTGGGGAAACAAGGCAGATATTTGGAAAGCTGAATAACAGCATAAAAAGTCACAAGGAATGATCAGGTGGCTGCCCTATGAAGGGTCAAGTAACCAAAGTGCAGAGAGTGTGCACATGACTGGCTTCACAGAGGAGGACATTCTGGGACAACGGGCTCCACTAGGAAGAAGGAGCTGTAACTTTCGCAGGACAAAGGCAGGAAGAAAAGCCTGACTCCACGCAGTTTTATTTTGTCAAATGAAACCAAAACGCTTACCGTGAAGCAGCACCACCCGGTTCCAGGTGATGAGGTTGCTGTCGACATTCTTATCCGAAAAGAGTAAAGTTGTCATCACATAGTCGAGGAGCTGCGTGAAGAAAGCAAAGACAGAAGTAAAGTCCTTGGCAGAGCAGAGGTTCAGCTGAACGTGTCCTGAATGAGCAGAGGGAAGGAGAGTCTTCAGAGCCTACCAGGCACACTCAGCCTTTCACCTCAGAAGGAGTCTTAAAGTCTCAGAGGACACGTGCTGAGTGTGACTATTACAAGGATGAAAGTAAACTCAAAGATCGCTTATTTACAATGCAAAGAACACACAAAACAACTGAGGGCTACACCCAGTCAGTGAGCTCGTTCCTCTGGGACACAGCAGTGGACAAGCTGTGTTTGCTAAAAGAACAGCCAGGGCTCTGGGGTCCCCGTGGCTCCTAGGGGAGCCGGGGTGGGTGACGGGGGTAGTGAGGATGGACTTCTAGTGTCCTCCCCTCCCCCATCTGTGTACAGAAGGACTCGTCCCCTTGAAGGGGGTTTAGACATGGTGGTACTCGCTCAGATAGCCCACCTGCTCTGCCCCTTGACACTGCCGTCTCAGCCCACAGGTTCCTAAGGAGTGTGATCCAGTGCAAGTGGGTTCACTTTTGAAACCTCCCCCTTCTCCTGAGGGGAACTCCCCAGAGTACAGCTCCACTCAGAGCAAGCCCAGAGGAGACGCCCAGGACAGAAGACAGACTCCCAGGGCATGGGGTGCTGACTAGCAGCACTCCTAGAAGCCCACATGAGATAAGAGGTGCTAGAGAGAACACAATAATGATTCACTTGAAATATGGAAGCCTTTCTGGAAAAAGCACAACTCACATGAGATTTGACTTCCACGTCATACACCAGGCTGTCCCAAAGCCCATGGAATTCAGCTGAGAGAACAAAACAAAACCAAATGTTAGGAAAGCAAGCCTTGCACCTACTGGTTACGTCCACCCTGAGCCACTGATATCCTCAACTGCTCCAGACGCAGCAAGCTATAATTCTGGTTACAGAAAAGCTAAACTTTCAAAGTCATCTGTAAGTTAAAGATTTTGAGTAAGTGGCAGTCACATGTGACTTTGGGTAGGTAATGAACCTTCTGTGGACCTGCGCGTGGACCCAAGCACTGATCCTGAACTCACCACTCTCCCCACAGGCCAACACTCGGGCAGGGCCGAGTGGCAGGTGGAGTCTAGCTTTCAGGACATCAGGCCTAACCTGGATTAGACGTGGCATTCAGCCTGCTAGATCCCATTATCACAGAGAAACACAGAGAAGGTAGGAGGAAGGAGTCGTCCAGCAAGACCGACCAACTGGGCAGGAAAGAAGAGCGACAGCGTAATAGCCCTCAATTAGCACTGGCTTTGAGAGACCCATCCAAGTAGTCTCATATTGGATATTTCTACTTTTCTCTCTTGTGATATACTTCCTATTTCCTAACAGATAAAACGCCCTAAAACTATACAACAGACACACAATATCTCGGAGGCTGAGGTGTGTGCTGTCCTCCACCCTCCCATTCTAGGCGTGCGCCACCCACTGTTACTGTCACAGATACCTGCAGGCAGAACCCAGTGATTTGCTGCAACTATGTTTTCTGTCTCTTCCTCCAGGTTTTCACTGCTGGGGCCATCCTCATTCAGCTGGAAGATGTGAAGTGCAATATTGCATATGCTCAAATCAATGGGCTGTGATGAGGAAAAAAATCAAATAAATCTACACAACACACTATCAAAACAGCAAATTCATGTTCTTGGGCTACGGGTTAACTGTTTCTTAGCTCTGAAAATTAAGTTACCTGTGGATCTTTAGCCTTTAATTCTGTGTCAACAATAGACACAGACTGCACATTTCTGGTCAGAAAAGGCTCGTCAAACTCAGACCAGGTGTAATCACCAAACACAATGTTATGCCTGTTGAGTAGCTTTCTAACACTCAGCTTTATATCCTCTTTTTTTGCAGTGCTAGGAACACAAAACACATAAAATCAGATCTGAGTTAAAAAAAAAAATCAACATCTTAAGAATGAGTGATTAAAAACAAAACAGACCATAGTGGGGAAAATGCACCCATGGATAGCGCTGGCGGGAGTGCCTGCATGGGAGTGATCCTGTACCGACTACGGGCTGACGGTAACTGCAGGCTGTGTGACCCAGGGAAGCTGCCCAAGGCCTCTGCCCAGGCCCCTCAGAGGCAGGGGGTGAAGGCGGAGTCAGTGCCACCTGGGCTGCTGGTCACCAAGCTGGAACTGCTGCCTAGGTGCCAGCCCCACAGCCGGGAAACAGCAGCCAGTCAGGGGGGAATGAAATGCTCACAGCTGGGGGCCCCAGAGGAGTTTCCCGGGCTCGGGTCCACCTCAGCCCCTACCCCCCGCGCTCGCTGCCTCCCCGAGGGCCCAGGCCCTCCAGCGGCCCCTGCGACGGTGTCCGCGCCCCAGAGCCCCCGGCTCCCGGACACCCGCTGCCGCCAGCACCTCCGGGGCCCATCGTCCCGAGGGCCTGGCCGGGGAAAGGGGATGGTGGGCAAGGGTGAGGGTGAGGGCGCAGGGGCGCTTCCCAAAACTCAGAGTTCCCGGGGCCGGCTTCACCCGGGCTGGAGGCCGGGGTCTGGGTCGACCCTGTCAGGGCGGGTCTGCTCGGGGCAGGGTCCCGTCAGGTCGGAAACGGCCAGGTTCGGGCCGAGGCAGGGCTCACCTGCCGCTCCGCTGGTGCACCTCCACGTGGACCGTGGGCGCCTCGGCCACGCAGGGCAACGCCTGCTTCAGATCTCCCACAGCTTCGTCCATGGCGGCGCTGCCGCTGGGAGCCGCGGGGACCGGGCCGCCCCGTCGCCGCTGCCGCCTCGCGCAGCGACCCGCCACCTCAGCGGCCTGTGCTCTCAGGCGGCGCCCCGCGCGCTTCAAACCCGCCGCGCACGGCGCACCGCCCCCTGACCCGGAAGCGCCGGCGCAAGCGGATGGGTCACTTCCGGCCTCCGCAGCCGCTTCCGGCACAGCCGGGCGACGGGGCCGGCGCGCGGCGGCCGCGCTCCAGGCGGGCTCGCTGCTGCCCTGGGCGCCGCCGCCATGGGCAAGAAGCACAAGAAGCACAAGACCGAATGGCGCTCGTCGTACGAGGGTGAGGCGGCGGCGCGCTTTGTGACGCCGGGCGGGCGTTCGCGGCGGCGGGGTCCCGGGCTCGAGGGCGGGGACGCGGGCGCGCTCACCGCGCCCCGGGGACGCGGCTCTCAGGCGTCAGCCCTGCTATCGCCGCGCCCTGGAGAGAAGTGTGGAGCATCCCTGTTTTTCGGCCGTGTTTCCTGAGGTCTCTCCCCGCAGCGAGGGCAATGAAGTGGTTTTTAACAGACCTCCTGTTTCTAAGGGGGAGCTGAGAGTGAAATGCGCGGTGTCCTGCTCCTGGTGTCAGGGATTACGCAACGGGGGGCTGCGGCAGGGCGGGAAGGGGGCGACCCGGGGCCAGAGCTAACGGGCCGGGATTGGGCCCCGGGGCCCCAGGCGTGGTCTGGTTCCTCCGACAGTGGCCTGGAGACCCCTCTTTTGGCCGGTGGAGGATAACTGGGCGGGGAGGGGAAGGAGCCCCCTACTACCGTCCGTTGCACTCACCACCATCTTTCTCTGATGGTTCTGGCAGTGCCCTGCTGCTCGCCTCAGCTTGGCTTGTCCTCCCACCTTCCCGGACCTCAGTGACCTCCCGGTGTCCCTTCACCTTGGGCCGAGGTGCCGCCTTCTGGGTAGCAGTGTGCGCTGCTGAGTGGCCTCCATGAGCGCACGCGGTGAAAGCCGCCTCTGTGTCCACAGACTATGCAGACAAGCCCTTGGAGAAGCCCCTGAAGCTGGTCCTCAAAGTTGGAGGAAGCGAAGTGACGGAACTCTCAGGGTCCGGCCACGACTCCAGTTACTACGATGACAGGTCAGACCATGAGCGGGAGAGACACAAGGAGAAGAAGAAGAAGAAAAAGAAAAAGTCAGAGAAGGAGAAACACCTTGACGATGAAGAAAGGAGGAAACGAAAGGTGAGCGGGGGGTGGGGGTGCTGGTGGATGGAGTCAGGGCTTCCTGGGCTCAGGCCGGGGTGTCCTCTCTGTGGCGGAGGGCATCCTGCAGAGTCAGGGTCTCCCGTTTCTTACCTCTTGCTGGGCCCCTGTGGAGGGCCCCTGGAAGGGTGGGGTCTGCGGTGAGAAGGGTTACCGGAATTTCACTCTCAGCTCCCCCTTAGAAACAGGAGGTCTGTTAAAAACCACTTCATTGCCCTCGCTGCTTTGACCCTGCCTCATAGGAGGAAAAGAAGCGGAAACGGGAGAAGGAGCACTGTGACACAGAGGGGGAGGCCGACGACTTCGACCCGGGGAAGAAGGTGGAGGTGGAACCGCCCCCCGACCGGCCCGTGCGAGCGTGCCGGACGCAGCCAGGCGAGTGGCAGCATTCAGAGGCGTCCTGGAGCTGTGGGGCTTGTCGTGGGGAGCAGCGGTTGGCTTTCTGTCCTTGGGCTTGAGGAGACACCTAGGACGGAAGGAGCCACACTCTCTGTTCCAGGGCCTCACAGAGTAGCTGGGCCTGCCTGAGTTTCTTGCTGCTCGCTTTGAGCTTCTAGAGCAGGGCTTGGCCTGCCGCAGCTCCTGGCCTCTCAGCCCGAGAGCCCCCAAGAAGGTCCTCCGAGATGGGAGGAGGCCAGCGCTGGCATCAGTCGTTCGGGCCCTTAGATCCCTGGGAGCTGTGCTGGCTTCAGCTGGGGAAACCTTCTGGAAAGCTCAGATCCCCACTGATCTGTGTGGGCAGTTCCCTCAGGTTTCAGACTGTCAGGCGCCTCTGGGGGGAGGCACTCTGGCTCCGACTGGAGGTCTGACCACCTCTAACTTGCTGAGGAGCGGGGAGACATTGTCTTGCGGTCATGGATGCCGGGGTCCAGCCCCAGCAGGATCCAGGGGAACCCTCAGGGTGAACGGCATCGGCGAGAGAGAGACAACGTAGGACCGGCCTTGATAGGGCCAAGTCTGCTAGGGAGAGAGAGAGAAAGAAAGAGATCAGACCAGGAATATGCAACAGAGTCTGGTAGTTGCTTTATTTTTGACCGTAGACTTTATATCCTAAGTTGGTACACTTCTAAGGGGCAGATAAGCATACAGACTTAGTTTAACATTACATTAGCTTGTCCTTCACAAAACCAGGTGTGCTCTGTATATTTTTGTATATGAGCGTCTTTTCCCATAGACTTTTTGTACATTATCTCCTGGCCTTGAGCTCAGCAGAAAACAGAAAAGTGGCAGTCTCATGGTACAGCAGGTTGTAACATAGTAGAAATACAATCCTGTTAACGTAAAACACAGTCTTTTTGCAGAAATTCTCAGCTAAATTTATCTAAAAAGTTTAACACACAAAGACTCTGTGGCTCTGGTGAGTCAGCCCCTGTTTAGCACTCTTGGTTAAAATTAACAATTATTGTTTTTACACTAGGGCTAAACTCTTATTTTACTATATCTTTAACTATATTAACAATAGTTTCCACTGCACAACCTCAGCACGTTAACATCAATCAAACATTGATCTAATAACCACTTTTAAAACAATATTTTTTGTATTTTCTAATAGGGCTTCCTCACCCCCCAAAGGGCTCTGTGCCTATTAGGGCCTTTTTAATGGTTAATCTCTATGTATAATATCTCTTGGCTTTCAGGCCTATTGACAATTTATGGTTTGCGCCTGGTGCAACTTTAAGCAACTTGAGTAGCCGACCCTGTCTTTTTTGTGGTTAATCTATTTTCTTTCTATTAGGTGTCATCTCCAAGGGTCCTAGATAGGATTACATTTTCACAGAACAGAAATGCAAAGGATTGCAAAAACAGCAGATATGGCACAAAACAGGCTCTTAGTCTAAAAGTTAATTACCTGCAAGAAGTCGCCAGCTAATCTCTATCTAAACTGTTTTCTATTAGGCACATTTGTGGCTATATTATTTGTGGAGCTTTTCTCACCCTGCGAAGGGGCCTATGCTTAATAGTTTCTTTTGTTAGCGTACTGTACTTAGGATGTTTAGAACAGTCATGAGCATTTTGTGCAATGAGAGCACACATTTATCAAACAAGCCAGAATGCCAGCAAAAGGGTTTGAATTGAAGCATTTCCTTCATCCCTGGCCCCTTCATAGGGTACCAGCGTCCAGGGGATTTATTAGTTAGCTTTTAAGTTGGTCTTTATTCAGGGAAAGAGGAGCAGGAGAGCTCTCGGCAGGCAGCGCAAGAATCTGCAGCAGGGCAAATAAGAACAACAGCAGAAAAAAGGGGGAGGATACAGGGTAGGATAGAGGCCGAGGCCAACCTGGAGGGTCCCTTATCCTAGAAGGCCTTGCCTATCAGGTATTTTCCTCGTGACCTCGTCATGGATGGGGTCCCAGACGGCCTTGCCTGCCTGGTATTTTCTTCATGACCTCGTCACGGGCGGGACCCCCCATAACGGCTCCGGCACATGGAGGTGGTGTTTGCTGGTAGCCCTGCTCCTGGGCAGCAGTGAGACGCAGGGCCGCTGGGCCTGCTGTGGGGAGATGAGGTAGTGCAGAGCAGCGGCTCCTCAGCGGAACGTGGTTGTGGAATGCCTGCGGTTGCTGGCAATCACTCGCCTCGTTCATACCGCCTGTTGAGCACCCTCCCTGTGTGCCTGGAAAGCCTGTGATCAGATGTTTCTTTGGACCTCTTCTGGTCTCTCTCAACAGTGTCACCCTGGTGACCGGAGTGAGCCAGTTCCCCCAAGGACCCTGGTTCCTCGGTGGAGAAGAGCATTTAGAACACCGGATCTGGGGCTCTGGGTGCAGCCTTCGGGACACAGCGGGGAAGACCATATACATACGTACTCTTGTGGAGGGAAACCTAACTGACTTCTGTGTTCACGTTCACTGAAAACAGTGTTTTTCATGCTGTGCGTCCAGAGGTGTAGTTAATAGAGTCCTCACAAGAACCCCCATTTTGTCCCCATTTTTCTAGTGAGCAGAAGCATGACCAGAGAATTCAAGTAAAATGCTATCAGGGCATTCATTGTCAACTTCTGTTCAAAGTCTTGGTTGCATCTTCTTACTTTGTCTGGAATGTCCTAGGCCCAGGAGGGGTTGGGGCTGGGGACAGGGTGACGTGTGACATCCCATCTTGGTTGTCTCAGAGGGGTCTTGGGGGACTGCTGCTGGGTCTCTGCCCCTTTCCCCAGCTGCACTGGGTGGGGACCATGCATGGGTCTGCTCACTTTCTCATCCGCTTCTCATGTGAGCCTGGAACACTGGAACAGGAGATAGATTGATAAGGATCACGAAATCGGCATTTTCTTTACGGTGAAGTGTTAGCGAGACACTTTTGTTTAATTTACTCTTTCCCTTTTTAAATCGGCAGCTGAGAACGAGAGCACGCCTATCCAGCAGCTGCTGGAGCACTTCCTCCGCCAGCTGCAGAGGTAAGGGGCTCCTGGGGGCATCTGGGCTCTTCTCTCCATGTGCTCCTGCTTTCGCAGTGGGGGGCGGGGGTGGACACGCCTGTGGGAGCAGGGTTCAGAGTTCCAGGAACCCCAAGTTGGCACCAGAGGTCAAATGCCATGGGTGGGGTCATGACAGGACCCAGGACAGTAGTTTTGGAGTTTTTAGCATATCCAAAATACCACAGTCTGAAAGAGCATAAATTTTGTTAATTTTAAGAAGCAACCTTAAATTTTGGTTAATTGCATCAGATTTTTTACTGTGAGCTGTTTTGTTCAAACACTTAGATCTTTGGATTTTTCCAGTTTAAATAAAGATGTTTGTGTTTTCAGAAAAGATCCTCATGGATTTTTTGCTTTTCCTGTCACGGATGCAATCGCTCCTGGGTACTCGATGATAATAAAACACCCAATGGACTTCGGCACAATGAAAGACAAGATCATAGCTAACGAGTACAAGTCAGTCACGGAGTTTAAGGTAGATCATTTCACCTCCTGAAGTCTTCACCAGGAAGCTCCGTGTGTATTCATGTATACAGACCCTTCACACAGCTTTAGTTGCTTGCATTTGCAAGCTTTGTGGGTGTTTCTGTGTTGGGTTGGTGTTTTGAAAATACAGAGGTCAGTTGTGACTTTCTCCCTGTTTTCGTCTAAAAGCTAGCCCGTGTCTTGCGTGCTAGTAGACATGTGTTTCTTAAGTTAGTATTTTGGCGTAAATGGACATGTTGGGTCAAGCAAAGGTGTGTTTGATTTGACCTGCAGTGTAATTTTTCTAATGTAGTTATCTGGGAGTTTAAATTTTTTAGGATCATGGTTTTTTCTCTTGAGTACTCTGTTGCTGACTGTTTTCCAGCACTGGCTGTGAAAGGCGAAAGCTGCTCTTTAGCATTCAGCTTCAGGGGAACTTCAGAACAGATGTTTGACAGTGTTGACAATGATGCCATTTAGAAAAAGATGTTGCATTTCTGTCTTAGGTTCTGTTCACTTTGGCCAAGCTTAGCTTTCCTATTTTTCTTTACTGGAGAACTCACTGAAAGTGAGTGACTGGTGACTGAAGGGTGGGTGGGAGAAAAGGAAAGTTTTCCTGGGCAGTTCGGGCAGGTGGGCAGGTGGTTACCTGTATCTGTGTTCTGAAGTGCACCCATCCACCTGTGGACCCAGTCTGGTCAGCCGCCCAGTGACAAAGCTGAGATGTGAAGAGTGTCACCCTGTCCCTGAGCCTGTCACAGTTGGGACCTGTGACACAGGGGCTTTAAGGCCTCAGCCCAGCCCTGGGGACACTGGCCTGGTGAGGGAAGGACTGCAGGTGGCGTGCACTACCTTAGCAGTCATTGTCATCCTGAGGTCTAACTCACCTGTCAGGTGTGCCCTGAGTAGTTTGGCAAGGGTGACAGAATACTGACATGTCAGGGCGTTTATCTTTAATGTAAGTTGTTCACTTATTTTAGGGGAAAGTGTTTTTCTGATGGTACTAGAGTAACCATCTATAGGCAGAATTTTAAATTCTATGAAAAAACTTCAGAGATAGAGGGCATGCCCACCTCTCAATTTATCCCTCTGCTTTGCTTAAAAAAACCTGTTGTTGGTTCTTGTTCCTGTTAATGTCCGAGTTCCTTCCAAGGAAGGGAAGGGGGCAGGTCAGGAAAGAAGTGGAGGAACCAGCATTTTACTCCCGTGAAGTGTGTGTGCTACGTTCAGAAAGGATTACACAGTTCGACAAGCTTCTCATTCAGGTATTTTTGTGCAAGTGAAGACTAATGAATAGTTATGAAAACTTCTCAAAGATTTTAAAAATGATTCTTGAATTCCTCAGCCATAAAAAAGAGCGAAATGTTATCATTTGCAGCAACATGGATGAAATTAGAGGTTATACTAAGTGAAGCGAGTCAGGCAGATGTTATATGGTATCCTTTACAGAGATGACACAAACGAACTTGTCAGAACAGATACAGGGAACAGAGTGTGGCTGCCGAAAGGGTGGGGTTGGGGGAGCAAACTAAGAGTTTGGGGTGAACAGATACACGCGGTTCCCTACAGGGACTTACTATATGGAACAGGAAAGTGCACTCAGTATCTTACAATAAGCTGTAACAGAAATGAGCTGAAAACAATTTCCATAAATTAAAGGAGAGTTCTTTAAACGGGAGAGCCACATTTGCTTTCCAGTGTGTTTCAGCGTCTTCCTTTGGCTTCTTTTGATAGGAATCTTGAGTCTTTTGTCATCTGTGTGGTGTTCCACACCTGGTGAATTGTCTCTTTTCTTTTCAGGCAGATTTCAAGCTGATGTGTGACAACGCGATGACATACAACAGGCCGGACACTGTGTACTACAAGTTGGCCAAGAAGATCCTGCACGCCGGCTTCAAGATGATGAGCAAAGTAAGGGGCCTCCGGCGGCGAGTGCGGGGCTGCGGCTGAGTGCCGCCTCCTCCCTGGCTCTCACGCCTGAACGGGAGCTCACAGCGAATGCCATGCTCCGTCCATGCACCCCTGGCCACGGCGCGGGCCCTCTGCTCTAGGGAGCCCCCAGCCAGCTGCCCTTGTGAGCACGCCCCTCCTCCAGACACACCCCCCTCTCTGCTCCCAGCCTGCTTGGGGCAGAGTTCCAGATGCTTGGGTCTCGCTGGCTTGCCGCCTGCCTTGCGGGTTCCTCTTGTGTGGCTGCCTCCCAGAGCCCAGCGCCCCACCCCCAGCCCCGGGGCCCCCTCTGTCCCTTGAGCCAGGCTGCATGTGACACGTATCTAGGACCAGTGCGGGCCTCACCAGCCTCGGGGGGGCGTGCTCTGCCGCTCCCCTCCCCCGGAGGGTTAGCCGCCAGGCCGGGCGAGGCTGCGGCCACCCCTCCCTTCGCTTCGTCGGTGCCGTGGCCGGAGGGAGAGGTCGAGCCCGCTGCTCTGTGCTTTCTGGTTCCAGGAGCGGCTCTTAGCTCTGAAGCGCAGCATGTCGTTTATGCAGGACATGGATTTCTCTCAGCAGGCGGCTCTTCTGGGCAACGAAGACACGGCTGCCGAGGAGCCTGTCCCCGAAGTCGTGCCCGTGCACGTAGAGACGGCCAAGAAGTCCAAGCGGCCAAGTAGAGAAGTCATCAGGTAGAGCCGCCCGCCTGCCCGGCTCTGTGGGCACTGACGTCCTCGCTGCTGGCGGGGTCCGTGTCCCAGCCCAGCTTGCTCACGGCAGCTGGGATGGAGCTTGCAACCCGTGTTCACACAGAAGCAACCCTCCTCCCTGCCTGGTCGAGAGTGCGGTGGCTGTGGTGGCGGTCACCATCCTGCTAGGACTGTCAGCGGGCCCTGGGCCCTGGGGTCGGTCGTGAGGGGCGCAGTTCCCCACTCTGCGGCCGTCGATCCCCACATGCTAGTGCAGCAGTGGGTCCTGTAGGAGAGTCACGGCCACCGCAGCAGGTGTCGGGGGCGCGGGCCGAGCCACCCTCACGGGCCACGCTCACACTCTGCCCCGGGTGTGGTTTGCCAGGCCCGCCGCCCGGGCGCTGCTGTTACCACGTCCTGTGAGTTCTCGTTGGGCCTTAACTCCCGAGGGTCCCCCTCTCTGCAGGATGCGCGCTGGCGGCCGGGGCTCCGTCCCAGGCTCGGGGGCTCTCTTGTGGATGACAGCTCGGGTCAGGGTGGGTAGGGGCCTGTTATCAGGCTCCTGCTTCTGTAGTTAGGGGCTGGCTGTGAGGGGGCTTCCCGAAGGCTCAGGACCCCAGAGGGCTCGCCCCCGACTCCTTGGAGAGGTTCCCCCACTGTTTCCAGAGACTTCCACAAGGGGACCACCTCCCTCGGGTGCTGGCAGCTGCCCCCCTTGCCTCTGCTGTCTCGGGGCGCTCTGGGGTCTGCTCTCAGCCTGCGCTCACTGCCAGCGCCCCGACCCTGCACGAATCACTGCCACTGTCGGTCCAGTGCTTGAGTGACGCTGCCGCCAGCGAGGCTCCTGTTGCCCGTAGAACCACCGGAAGGAGGGGCTGAGACCCGAGGGGCCTGCTTGGCTGGGGTCCGCGCACCGTAGCCGGCAGAGGTTCAGGAGCAGAAGGAAGGGTGTGATGCGCGCCCTGTGCTCCCTGCCGCCACCTGGTGCGTGGGCTGCCAGGAGGGCAGGCATGACTGGTGCGTGTCCCCGCCTCGCAGCTGCGTGTTCGAGCCGGAGGGGAACGCCTGCAGCCTGACGGACAGCACCGCGGAGGAGCATGTGCTGGCGCTGGTGGAGCACGCAGCCGACGAGGCCCGGGACAGGATCAGCCGGCTGGTGCCTGGCGGCAAGGTAGTGCCCTGGGGGCGGCCACGTCATCTGCCCGGTGCTGGCCTGTCGGCACGACCGAGCACTGGTGGACATTGCCAGTGTCTGGCCGGAGCGCCGCCGTGTCCTGCTGCCGTTGTCGCTGGAGGGGTTAGCGCCTGGTCCCCACGGCTGCCACAGCTGGCAGACCATCTCCTGGGGGCGGGAGTGGCAAGTGGTGTGCAGGCCGCTGGCTGGCACAGGGTTACACTCTGTCTCCAGGCCAGGGCCGAGCCTGCCCTGCCTCTCCACAGTGGCGCGTCCTTTCCGCATTCTCGGTGTCTGCGCCTCTGCAGTCTCCATGGGTCTAACCAGGCATGAGCCAGCCCCCACGAGGGCCCACCCTGCTCTGCACAACCCCTCTCTGACACAGAGGCGTCTGGTAGGCATGTGGGAATCACGTGGGCGAGTGGCTTTAGGCTTCCTGGTGACTGTTAGCAAGGAAAGACCAAAGTTAGTTAACCCTGGTGTTTTGTTTGGCCTGGTGTGTCTAACGTTTCATTTTCACACAGTGTGTGTGGAAACCTACTTGAACTTTCTATTTATACTGAGTCTGAAGAGGGTGTGTTGGGTTTTACATAAAAAACCATGAAGTGGTCGCAGTTGGGATGTGTCGGGTTATATAAGGCACATCACGTCTCATGTCTCCTGTTTCCTGCTGGTTTGCACGTGCCTGCTGTAAGGTGTGAGGCCCCGTGTGGTGACGCGCCACGGTGGTTCCTCGGCCCCGGAGCCAGCGTCTCCACACTAAGCACTGATTCCTCGCAGACCAGGGTGTGCGTCCTGTTTGCGCACGGGTGCACAGTGCTGGGATGGCCACCTCTGTCTGTGCACCCTGCCCTGATTCACATTCACCGAAGGCCATGCGCTCACACTGAAACCTCCAGGTCTGCCCGCACCTGTGGGTCCTCTCTGCTCCTTGCGAGTTCGTGGCTGCAGCGAGGAGCCGCCTGCTGTCGCCCGCGTCCCATCCCTGGGCTCCCCTGCACCATCGCATGGGGCTGCTCCTGGCCTGGGCCGCCCTGGCCTGCAAAGGGCGCTGTTCCCAGGTGGGGCTTCTGGTCTCCTTGACCAGGCCCTGCCCCAGCTCGCATTGGTCAGGCTTCTGGCTCCTGGAAAAGGCTGTTTCTGGGGAGTGTCGTGTCCTCGAAGCTCCTGGTCACAAGGGTGCTAGGAGCGCAGCGCAGCAGCTCTTCCGTGGCGCACGTGTGCCCGGGGTCGTGTGCTCACGGCACGGGGCATGTCTGTGGTCTCCAGGGGACAGGGAGCTCTGTGGCCGTTCAGGGTTTACTCGGGACAGGCTGTCCTCAGAGGCCGTGGTTCTCCTGGCCCCTCCGGAGCCCTGCTCTGGAGGAGCCCTGGGCAGGGGGTTGGGGGCTGCGGGGGGGCCTCAAGGCCACGGTGGTTGGGGGTGCGGGGGGCCTGGAGGCTGCGGGGGGTTGGGGGCACAGGCGCTCAGGCTGCTCTCTTGCAGATGGGCTACCTGAAGAAGAATGGGGACGGCAGCCTGCTCTACAGCGTGGTCAACACGGCTGGGCTGGATGCCGACGGTGCGTGCCCGCTCCGCCACCCTGTCCCGTTTGCTGACCGGCCCGCCTGAGGGCCTCCTGTTCCTTGCTGACGTGTAGATGAGGCATGTCCCATTGCCCACGTGGCAGGATGCAAGTGTGGTCAGGAGTCCTCCATGGATGCAGAGGGCAGGTGCTGACCACTTTAATCGTCAGCTGGAGTGAATTGTAGTGTTCTCAATAAAAGAGAACAGGCAAGCTGGTCCTGCTCTGAATGCGAGATTGAGGCTCTGACGGGGACGTGGAGTCCTCTCAGGCCCCACTTCCCATGGGAACCGCCCGCAGGCCTCTTGGGAGGGGGAGGCAACCGTGTTGCTCCTGCAGCGCGTGGACTGAGGTCTCGGAGGCGGGGCCTGTGGCATGGGGTTGGGGTTGTGTTGCCGTGTGGTGGGCCGACCGCTGGCCTTCCACTGTGAAACTGCGGGCAGCCAAGGTTTGAGAGGGGCTGCCGGCTGTGTAGACCCGAATTCAGATGGTCCCGGGGGCCCCAGGCTGCTCTCCCACATGCTGCCGCCGCTTCCTGCGGCTGGGGGCCGCCTGCTCATGGCTCTGGTCCCATGCAGAGGAGGAGACCCACCCAGTGGACCTGAGCTCGTTGTCCAGCAAGCTACTGCCCGGCTTCACCACGCTGGGCTTCCGGGAGGAACGGAGGAGCCGAGGTGAGACCCCCCGCCCCCACCCAGCGGCTGCTGTGTCAGGCCTGGCTCTGGGTCCCGTTGTGCTGGGGGGTCCTGGGAGGTGCGGGAGCTGGAGCGCAGCAGGCAGGCCCCGCCTCCGCGTCTGCCAGGGTGGGGGCTCCTCCCTGCGCTCGGCTGCGCTCCGCATGGTGGTCCAGTGACGCCACTTAAACTTTCTCCAACAAACAATTCCTCCACTTGGGAGTCATGACACTGTAGGCAGTGGAGAGACCCACGCCTGGAGGTTCCTGAGAACACGGTGCTGGGTGCAGGGGGCACGTGGGCTCCACGCGGGGCTCTGGTTTGTTCGTTCTCCGCGGTCCCCTGGAGACATGGCCTGTGCGCGGCCCGTGTGTCTGTGTGCCTCACCTCGGCCTCTGCACCCCCCCAGTCACCTTCCTCTCCAGTGCCAGCACTGCACTCTCCACGCACAACAACTCTGTGTTTGGTGACTTGAAGGCTGACGAGGTGGAGCTGCTGTACTCGGCCTACGGAGACGAGACGGGCGTGCAGTGCGCACTGAGGTGGGTGGGGGCCAGTCAGCGTCTGTGGCGGGCAGGAGGGCATCGGTTCCTGGCTGCAGGCCATGGTTGTGTTCAGTAAAATGACTGTGGCCTCTGCCGGCGGCCTCGAAGCTCAGGTAACTGGACCAGGTTTTTAAGGGGATGATGATCCAGGCCGGAGCCTGCCAGAGCCTGGTATGACCCATCGTGCCCCAGGAAGAGCCAGGGTCACGGCTGTCCAGAGGTTCTCGATCACAGAACTGCAGAAATGGCGTCTCCCCATGTTAGGTGTTTGTCTTCCTCCAAAAACAACGTGGAGTGTGTCTGAAGAACACACAGAAATCAGTTAGCCTCTAATACAGTAACCGAATAGCTGACCCCGATGTTTGTGCGAAAACAGAATTAAAGGAGGAAAACCAAGAAGAAGGTGTGGTGGTAGAGGGTGGCCTCCCAGGTGGTGACCCTGTGTCGCCCTGCCCCAGCGCATGGCTCTGGGGCCCACTGCCCTTGGTCCAGGCAGCTAGACGCTGGGTGCAGAGTCCAGGCAGCTGCCCTTGGTCCAGGCAGCCGTACACTGGGTGCGGAGTCAGGTCCACAGCCGTGTGAAGGCTTTGCCGTCCGGGCCCCTTCAGACCTTGGCCTGGCTGTGTTGCTCAGCCTGTGGGTTCTGCTCCCGGCTTCTGTTCTCAACTTGTGGCCTCTATTTTAAACTCATTAGTCTGGTTTGGGATTGTCTCACTTCCTTATGGTCCAAAATGACCCCAGAGGTGCTCCCAGCCCACCCAGTGCTTTCTCCTTAATCTCCTTGTGTTTCTGAGCCCAAAACAGACATGAGTGCTCTCATAAAAGTCAGTGTGAGGGACTTAGGTGTGCAGATGCCTTGTGCTTTGCTTTGCTTTGCCTTTACCTTTCTTGTTTTGGGGTCACTCTGAGTGTGGTCAGCCCCCCACCCACACCATCTGGACCTCGGGGGTGGGCAGCCAGGGCAGGAGGGTGAGGAACACAGGTCCCAGCCTGCTCTCGCGGCCCCTCCAGCCTGCAGGAGTTTGTGAAGGATGCCGGGAGCTACAGCAAGAAGCTGGTAGACGACCTCCTGGACCAGATCACAGGCGGGGACCACTCACGGATGCTCTTCCGGCTGAGGCAGGTGGGCGCTGGGCTCGCGTGCGAGGTGATGGAGCTGTTCTCCCCCCCGGGTCGACTTCAGTCATTACTTCCAGGGAAGCCTCGGAAGGGCACCCTCGTCTGGCACCTGCTCTTCGCCCCTCAGACCTGCCCGTCTCCTCAGCTGTCACCTACCACTGTCCTGAAAAATGTCCTTTTACCTTAAAGGACAGATTTGCTGGCAGCAAACTTACTGAACTTTATCTGAAAGCTGTCTTCATTCTACCTTCACTTTTGATGCTCGTCTTCCTGGTGTGGGTGCCTAGATTGACATCTCAGCCTCTTTGTAGAGTGATGTCTGACTCGCTTTGTGTCTGCGGTCACTTTTATTTTTATTTTTCATTTGTAGTGTGTATTTTTTGGTCAAGATTAGGATTGGCAAACTTTGGCCCATTAACAATGTTTTTTTTTTTTTAATAGATTTTGAGTGTTTTAGAAAATAGAAATTGAAAATGTGCCACACCCTGTGTGTGACCACAAAGCCTTAAATGTTTCCTCCCCAGCCATTTTGAGTTTCTTTTTGTATACAGTACTAGGGAAACGTTTTAATTTCATTCTTTCACATGTAGCATTCCACTTTTTCCAGCACTACTTATGGAATAGACTCTCCTCTTGCATTGGAAGAATTAATATTGTTAAAATGGTTATACTCTCCAAGACAAGCCATAGATATAGTGCAGTCACTATCAAAACATCAATGGCATTTTTCAAAAAATTAGAACAAATGATTTTAAAGTTTATGTGGAGGCACCGGAGACCCCAAGTAGCCGAAGCAGTCTTGAGAGAGAGCCAGGGGTCTCCATCCTGCAGGTTTCAGCCTGTACTGCTGAGCTGCCGTCATCAGAGCCGTGTGGTGCCCTCACTGGACTAGGTGCGCAGACAAGTGGGGCGGAATCGGGAGCCCGGAAGTAAACCCGGGCGCGCACGGCCAGCTTAGGACAGAGGAGGCGAGAACGGTCTTATCGCTTTACTGAATGTGAACTGCTCAGAGCGGCACAGCTTCAGACCCTTGTCATTTAGTCTCTGTCGTGTCCGACTCTGCGACACCATGGACTGCAGCCCGCTAGGCTCCTCTGTCCTCCACTGTCACCTGGAGTTTGCTCAGACTCAATTCTATTGAGTCGGTGATGCCATCCAGCCATCTCCTCTGCTGGTCTCAGCAGCCCCCCCAACCCCCTGCCCCGGGTCAGCCGTCCTCCAGGGGCAGCCCCGGGGGGGAGTGTCTGACTGCCCACCTCTGTTCCCACCCCTGGGGCTGAGGATGCAGCCTGGGTCTCTCACTCCTTCACAGCCGTCTCGCCCCGGGGGTCTCAGCTGGCAGGCGCTGTGGTGGCCTCTGGCTGCAGCCTGTGAGGCCCGCTCAGGTCGCAGGTGGGCCTGTCCCACCTCGTGGGTGAGTGAGAGGGTAAGCGGGTGTGCTCCTGGGTGCAGCTGCTGAGAGACTGGATCTTGTCTGTGATTCTTTGTAGAGGAGAAGCGTTCCGATGAAACCTCCGGATGAAGTGAAGGTGGGTTCCGTGGACAAGTTATAGACAGTAAAAACCTAGTGGTGCAGGTCCCCGTGAGGATGTTGTGTGGCCTTTGAGACAGCGCCAGTGAGAGGAGCTTCAGTCCTTTTGCTGAGGAGGAAAGCGAGATGGTCTGATCTCAGCCCGCCCGTGGTGACCTGGCCTGAGGGTGTGGCGGGGGCTCCTCCCGGGATGGGCTCACTCGTGGGCGTGGGTGGCCAGCAGGAACGGCCCAGGGCCTCGCCATCCCGAGGACACGGTCCTCCGTGGCCTTTGCCCCACCTGCAGTGACCTAGAGCGTGTTTGGCCCCAGCTCTGAAACCAGGAGCTTCAGTCCTTTTGCTGAGGAGGAAAGCGAGATGGTCTGATCTCAGCCCGCCCGTGGTGACCTGGCCTGAGGGTGTGGCGGGGGCTCCTCCTGGGATGGGCTCACTCGTGGGCGTGGGTGGCCAGCAGGAGCGGCCCAGGGCCTCGCCATCCCGAGGACACGGTCCTCCGTGGCCTTTGCCCCACCTGCAGTGACCTAGAGCGTGTTTGGCCCCAGCTCTGAAACCACCCGTATGGGCAGGCACTGGGATGGGGCAGGGTGCAGGGGCCTGGGCTGTGGGGGTCACTCGGCCTCCATGACGGAGGCCTCACAAGGCAGAGGTCAGGTGCCTGTCAGATGGGGCCCTTTGACGGGAAATTGGGGAGGGTGCCATCTGAGGACACGCCTCCCCAGATGCACAGGGTGGCCGGGTGTCTGCTTGGTCTCTGCGCTGTGCGACATGTGTGGCCTTGGGCGCTGCCGTGCACGGCCCGTGAGGACCTGGGGTGGGCTGCAGCCGCCTGAGCAGGGACCCCACTCCCGCCCCGACCCGGCCCCCCAGCAGGGATTCCGCGGGTCAGCCCAGAGGAGGCGAGGACCTGGGGCGGGCTGCAGCCGCCAGAGCAAGGACCACCCCGCGCCTGCCCTGGCCCCACAGCAGGGCCTCTGAGGAGGCGAGGACCTGCCATGATGTCTGTTGAGTTCCTGAAAGACAGCCTGACCTCGAGTCCTGAGTGTCTCCTCAGTGCCTGTGGGTCCCCAGGGACCTCCCCAGAGACCGCCCCCCCCCAGCACCTGCAGGGCTCTCCGCAGTACCCCTAGTACCCATGGGTGCCCGGGGACCAGTACTCTCCTGGCTGCCCCAGGTAGAATCTTCCTCTGGGGAGCCCAGGCCCTGTCGTCCCCAGGCCGGGCTCGGCCTGTCTGTGGACTCCTCACGCGTACTGGTCGCAGCTGGCCCAGCCTCTGTGCCCTAGGTGGTGGGCAGCAGCTCGCTGCCTCTCCTCTTGTCTCACGTGGCTTGTCTCCTGCAGGCTGGGGACCCTCTCGCGGACGGGGGCTCCACGCTGGACTTCATGGCCATGAAGCCCTACTCAGATGTTTCCCTGGACATCTCCGTGCTCGGCTGTCTGGGTAGGTTGTGCCAGGCGCCGTGTTGTGCTTGCTGCTAAGAGGGTGTCTCGGCCCAGCCTATGGGTCCCAGAATGAAGACCCCCAGCCACCCACCCCCCACCTGTCCCCAGGACCCCCCTCACCCCTGTCC